CAGAGCAGAATGGGGAAACGTGCATGAGTGTAAGCGGATCAGTAAGGAAAGTATTTCGGGATAACTCCTTGGCAATAACCTTTACCGAGGCCGACAAACAAGTACCATTTCCACATAACCGCCCCCTCTACGTCCCAGTATTCATCAACGGGATGGAGTTTCAAAAAGGATTCATGGATGGAGGAGCTTCACTCAATGTGATGCCTTATTCTACTTTCCAGGAAGCTGGGATCCCACAAAAGCACTTAGTTAGACAACCCATCTCCATCACCGGTTTTGGAAGTCAAAAAATTAAAACCATAGGTCATGTCCAGTTAGACTTAGCAGTCGGACCAATTCGCTCTACTACTAAGTTCCACGTTATAGAAGCAGAGACGACCTATCAGGCTCTCCTAGGGAGAACTTGGCTTCACAGATATGCTGCTATCCCGTCCACTTACCATCAATGTGTCAAAGCAATCTACAACAATGAAGTAGTAGCCATAGCTGGCTCTCAAAAGCCTTTTCGAGTAGGTGAAGCCCACATGGCAGATGCAGTATTTTACAATCATGTCAATGAAGATGAACCTCCTCTGCCACTTCGAGGAACTCCTATACCTGACTGGGATGACCTCTCTGAAGAAGGTTCATCACCACCTCGTAGAAAGACATTCACCAAATCAGAGCCCTCAAGAAAGCTCCCTAAAGTCACCAGGTTTCAAACAAAAGATGGCAGAATAGTATACCGTTTATGACGGTGCGAGGGGTTGGCAAATGTTACCAATGCCGACCCCCAGCTAGACGACGTAGCAATTGTCCATCGTGAACTAAGTGGAAAAGATCACTGTTGCTACACCTTGTCTGCGCTGGCCCAACGCCTGCCAATGGCAAAGAATAAAAAAAGTAGAGACAATAAGAGCAGAAGGAGAAAAAAAGCTGTGGCTTTTCCAGCAACAGATAAACACTCCGACAAATCCTATTGTCCTGCGGTAACTCATTTGGATGGAGCCGAAGGCTCAAAAGTTAAACCCCTAAAGGCAGCCATTTCATCTCCTAACCAAGTCCTCGCCAAGCAAGATGGATTGCAAGAAGTCAGACCTGCTCCGGAGTGTTTACAGGATGGTCCTAGGCCCCAAAAACAAGAATTGGAAGAAATCAACATAGCCTCTGAAGGAGAACCCAGGCGTCCTATCTTCATTTGCAAGGATCTCCCAGCAAAACAAAGGGGGCCCCTTATCGAATTGATCAGAAAATATTCGGACGTTTTCGCATGGACATATGAAGAAATGCCAGGATTAGACAAAGATGTTACCATGCACCGTCTGAACGTCACCCCCCTGGCTCGCCCAGTCAAGCAAGGAGTAAGATTTTATAAGCCCGAGGTGGAGCTCAACATCAAGGACGAAGTGGTGAAACTGCTTGGAGCAGGGTTTATTAAACCTATTCAACATCCCACCTGGCTTTCTAGCATTGTCCCAGTTATCAAAAAGAATGGTCAAATTCGAGTGTGCGTCGATTTCAGAGATCTAAACAAATCTTGCCCCAAAGATGAGTTCCCACTCCCAAACATAGATACCATGATTGATTCAGCGGCGGGGCACCATATGTTCTCATTCATGGATGGCTTCAGCGGCTATAACCAGATCAAGATGGCCCCAGAGGATGCCCCAAAGACGGCGTTTCGCACTCCTATAGGTAACTTCTTCTATACTGTAATGCCTTTTGGATTAAAAAACGCGGGAGCAACATACCAGAGAGCTATGACAGCCATTTTTCACGATATGTTGCACAAGTCCTTGGAATGTTACATTGATGATTTGGTAGTAAAATCCAAAGAGGAGACTAGTCACCTCAAAGACCTCCAAAGAGTCTTTGAACGTTGTAAGAAATACAGACTCAGAATGAACCCGCTTAAGTGCGCATTCGGAGTCACTGCCGGCAAGTTCCTTGGCTGCATCGTTCATCGCCATGGGATAGACCCCGACCCAGCAAAGGTC